TGGAGACTAACTCGTCATTGCTTCTGGATGAAGCTGTCCTGGAGAAAACAAAGAGGGTGCTGATCATGAAGTGGGTTGTCGATCTTAAAAGATCGTTCGGATCCGTATTATCTTTTGGTAAAGGAGTTTTCAAGACGTCGTCTTCAAAGAACCGCCGTTGGTCCTACCTCCGAACCGCGGGTGTGTGTCATGAGATTGACCTGGTTAAGGAAACCAAATACTGCGTTACACACCAATGGCGCCTGCCCAAAAAGCAGTGTGACGCCTTTTTTCGTGCGAAAAACGCCGCAGGAATGGTGCGTGAGAGTAAGCATCCCCATTCGACACCCACGTTTTGTGTGCCGAACGGCAAGTAGCGAATCGTTCACGCTTATGATAAGCTTAACGCTGCCACCATTCTGGCATTCTAAATATGATGTTTTCCAGAACAATATAGGTGGCTGTACAAAGTCTTGGCATGTAGAAACTGCTTCGAAATGTGAGCATTGTTCGGCGGATTACCTGCCACTCCACGCGCATCAGAAGGACCTCGCCCTTGATGCCTCGATCCTCGTTCGACCATCCATTCTTGGCTCGCAGCAACTGCTTCGTAATGTGAGCAGTGCTCTGTGGGATACGTGCCACTCCGCGTGCATCACAAGGGTCTCGCCCTTGATGCCTCGGTCCTTGGATGACCATGCCATTCTTGGCTCGCAGCAACTGCTTCGTAATGTGAGCAGTGCTCTGTGGGATACGTGCCACTCCACGTGCATCACAAGGGTCTCGCCCTTGATGCCTCGGTCCTTGGATGACCATGCCACTCTTGGCATGCAGCAACTGCTCCAATACTTGGGCAGCGCTCAGTGGGCTACGTTCCACTCCACGTTCAGCCCGCGAGCCATGCTCGGGACCCTTGTCCAAAATCCATTGGTGTTTATCAACTTGGATACTCCGATATCCAGCACATTGACCGTTCCGGTCCAATGCCCGCGCCAATAGCATTTCTGCTTCCTTGCAGAGGTTACATCATGACTCATCAAAGCTCCACTCGGAGACGTGAGCGAAGCGCCCAAGGTCTTCGACCTCCCAATCAACCCATAGCTCATCGTGTTCCAACCATGCCATACCAAGGATAAGGTCATATCTTGAATCCAAGTCTAAGACTAGGTAGCGGTCCACGCTATCAAAGTCAAAAAACTTGACACCGATGTCCACAAGGACCCTCGGCACAGTGACAAAAGTCCCCGTCGCTAAGGCGACCAGTGACGGCGTCACTCAACGCGCTTTCAGCGCCTCACATACAGTCAACTTCCTTCGATCGTGGAGCGACGAGCATAATTGCCCGATGCCCCGGAATCGATAATGATTTTCCATGGCTTCTCAAAGCCCTTCGTGGCCGCTTTTACGACCAGCAAACCCGGCATCAACACACGTACCGTATTCAAGAGCATGGACCAAGCTACTGACATCTACCATTTTGAGGCCCAGTAAAATTCAGTTTTTACCCAATAGGTCGCCCCGCGCCTACTGGGTGTCGTCGTTTCCCCGCGACAAACCATAAGACTGGTGAGAAGGAGGACGTCGGTTCGACGAACCTATACGCGCCTTGCGCAGGGGACAATCAGCCCGAAGGTGACGGGTGTCTCCACAGATAAAACGCCGTCGGAAGCTTACACGCTGCTCAGCAGCTCGGATCTTTTCCTCCCATTTCTCGACATACCTCAGATCCATCGGCTCAGGCCCGCTCGACGAGCTCTGAGGGTGTGCATCCCAATCAAGTTGTGCCGACTTGTAGTTGAATTTGGCCGTCAATCCCACGCTCACCGCTTCTTCAAGAAAAGACGGATGCACACGAAAGACTTTCATTCTGGTCACGCAAGTGCGGAGGGCCTCCATAAAGATGGTAACTGCGGCCGCCTTGGGGAGAAGACCTGCTGTCATCCCGGCAATGATAGTTCTTAACTCTAAGACAAAGTCCACCAACTCTTTCTTGCCCTGTCGGGCAGCAAGAAAACGTGATCTCACGCGATATGCCTCATTAGGCGGCGAGAGCACTCGCAGAAGCTGACGCTTCTGCTGCTTCCAGGAGTAGAACCTGAAGCACCGGGCGTTGGTGCACATTATCGCTCGGCCTCCGAGCTTGGAATAGCTAGCGCCACGCGCTGTTGCTCGTTTTGAAGCATGGCGGATGCCATCGCCATCTCGGACTCTCTTACCCAGAGAAGGGAATTCTCTCCATCCTTACCCTCAAAGGTCTTAACGCTCACCATGAGCGGCTGGGTCGGAAGGATTCATCCGTCGTCGACGTTGGCGTTATAGACTCAGTCGACGCTGACAGCAAATGCTGTAAGTGCTCTAGCACAGCAATTTCTTGACTTGAAAACGCATCTAGGTGCGCGCTTATGGTCTCGGGTCCTTTCGCAACAAGGTGCTTATTAAACCTGTCCGGTATACCCTGGAACAAATAGGAGTATTCTTTCATCCTCACAGAGGATCAGTCGTAACGACTCAGGTGCAGATTGACTACGAATGCTAAAGTCACCGACCTTACGTTCTTTCCAAGAACCAGTACGAGTGTAGCGGATCGCAATCTGCTACCTCCAAGTACTATCACCTTAACCAAGGCAAACGAACACTTCTGTTCAAAATCAAAACTATATTTTATTGTTTATTGCAGCAGAGCCGCCATTATCTAGAACCTTTGGTTTCCTTATTAGTATAGTAATATGCATTACTATCGGCAATCCTGCTACGACGTGGCTTCTTGTTACGAAGTAGCCACACCACTGTGTGATTACTCTAACTGTGTATCACACACCTATGTATGGTCGCACAAGATTGTGCGACCTGCACTTTCTTAGAAGGGCGCGTGTAACCCCGTTATATATGTGGTCAGGTTCTTGCTTTATTTACTTCCAGTGCAAGCGACTTGCAGAATCTACGGGCTTTGATCAAAGTATTTTAGAGTAAAGCATCAAAGAGGCTTTCACAGCCACAAAGCAGCACTGCAACAGCAACGAAGAAAGTCAACGAGCCAGGTTTTGTAGAACGTCTCCCTACTAAACGGTCCATCAAAGCTCGAATGATGGATGGGGTACCAAGAATTATCGTATACGATTTTATTTAGAACAGTTAGGTACAGAAAACGTTCGTATTATTCTACACAATGGAATGACCACTTCAACGTTACTTGGTTGCAAATTCGCACGACGAGAAACCTCTCAACAACAATCAGAAGGTTGGCACGTCCAATACGACCATGATTGTAACATATGACGTCGACGCTTGAGCCGCTAAAGAAGTTTGAAGTAAGAATTCGTGCCTTTCCAATAATGGCGATTGCAATTGTACGACTCGTGCTTTGCCAAGCTTCATTGTTGAACCAAATATTTGACGACCGATGGTACCACTGACCCGTCCGACACTTTCGCGATACCTGTTTTAGACAATTCTGACGACGACATGTACAACAAATTCGAATGAAATTGAGCGCGTCTTCAGTGCGGTCGTCTGGTGCAGGATAGTGTAAGATATTAGGCTCCACGAGCGTGTCTTTTTCTCTCGCACGCGACAAATATTATCATGCGCATGTCGACTAGTCCGAGTATAGCTATTGCTACACAGTTGACATAACACGCAGATGCAGAGCAAACCACATGTGGGCAGGTAAAATTTTGCACATACTAGCAGAGCAATGAGCACCTACACCCTCAACTTGCATGATGGCAATACTGGATCGCGCTGATATCACTAGGTCTCTTTTTTTTACGAAAAGGTCGCCTCTAACGCTTAGTTGGTCAAACACGCAGCAGGCATGCAATAATTTAGTTGCATCTTTGATCGCCACGATGAAGACGCGTTAACATCTATCAAGTAACATAACAAACTGGAAGTGTACATAAGTATCAACATGACTGCTCTTAAAACACCAACTACTTATTATTATTTGATAATTACTACCACACCATATCACTATCTCTGCGGTCACTATTGCTTTCATGGTCACTATACTTTGTCCTCATTGTGTAGCCAGAATTTGCAGCACCAACAATAAGGGCTCCAGCCCATCTGTTGTACTTTGTTTGAATTTTTGACACTATTTCTACAGCATGATATCTGCATTATTTTCAAGACTTAACATGAATCGTCTCTCGATCGACACTACAAGCGATGCCAACTTCTTCGTTACACAGAAAGATGCTTGTTCTTACCTTGTACTTCAATCGGAGTGGTTCGTCGGCCGTCCATCTAGTTGCATTAGCCGCCGTCACAGCATAAATCATCCGCAAGTTCGAATATTCAAAGCCGAGAAAAATTCCTTTTTCTAAGTTGGGCCGCATTCGTCGAATTCGCCAGATTTCTACCGACTGGTACCTCTTACTGGTAAAGCGACGCCATTATAGTCAGCGACAAACACTTCGACTGTATTTTCTGGGTACACTGAAGCTGTTGCCAGTAGTGGCAGTTCTGAAGATGGGCGTAGTGTTCCATACGTCTTGTTATCTTGGGCCCTTGACTATCTGTCGGGTTTTGCTCCATGCCGCATCTCGAATTTATTACACCCACTCGAATCGACAAAGTGATTGAGAGCCAACGATTAGGATATTTGGCACAGGTTTTCTTTTTCACTAAAAAAAGTGTACTAATTGAAAGATAGATACCACATGACATCATTTATTTCTTTAGAGATAGCAAGGATTTCGATAGTAAGCGATAATTTTTTGTTAAAGCGATTCGAATGTAGACAAAAACGCGCGGAAGCTGCAGAGAACAAATCGAGTCTGGTTTAGCTTCTGAGGAAGAGTGAACGTGATAAGGAGTTTGATGTGTCTCACCATAGCGAGATGCAGTCGTGGCAACATTTTTTGGAAGAGTTCAGGAAGTGGTATAGCATTGGGATTTGCATCATCAATAATTTTTTTGGACAAGAAGAATGATTGGAAAGACCGAAGTCAGTATAAGTGGGTTTCACTACTGTCTCTATCACTTTTCAGCCACCTTTGATCACAGTATGCTGACGCTCAGTAAAACGCCAACATTCCAGTAATTGTAAATGAAGTGTCTGTCAATCCAGATTCGTTGTGCCGGTCACCACTTTGAAGTAAAATACTGGGTAAAAGCATGGTCACGGCCTGCTTAAAGCTTGCTGAGTACAGTATGAAGTAGTCTTCCGTCACACAAAATGGCGTTTTGTCGGCTCTCTTGTGGGCAGCTCTTACTCGAGAAAGTTTGCGCGTATTCGATTGTAACGATCGTCAACGTACCGTACGTTGTGACCTGCATCAAGAAGCTCGTTAATATCGCTTCTTCAAATAGCATGACCATGGCTGGGAATGTCGTTTGGGTCACTTAGCCATTACATGAAGGTACCTTCTGTATGCAGTGTGGGAATTAATATTATAAGATTGCAGTATGGTGTTCCCAAATGCATATGTAGTTTCTCATATGACGTCACAAACATTGTGTGTGATTCAGAATGCTAGCTCCTACTTGGGGATTTGTACTGGTGACGAGACCGACGTGTATCTGTCTTTAGAAATGGGTGGCGTAAGCCAGTGCTCTCGAAGTTTGCCTCTCGCTCGAATGTAGCCAGCGTGAGCTTTGGCTCAGAAGCCATTGCGAAGGCACGCGGATCATGTGCTACGGCTTTAGAAGATGACGTCCAAGAGACAGCGTGTCAACTAAAATAACAAATTACTACAAAGACAGCGGTAGTTTCGGAAGTGTACGCAAAAAACATGGCAACTACAATTCGAAAATCCAGTAGAGCGCTAGCTTCCGATTATCTTGTCGACATGGGTGGCAAAGCTTGATTATGTATTTAGAAATATTGCTTATTCGAGTCCTTAAAGTTTTGTGTGGACTGATCACAAGAAAAACACTAGGTGAATTTTGCAATAAGGGACAAAAGTTAGTAAATCAGATTAAGTGCCCAGTTTGCAGACCAGTTTTGTCCAGATGCATAGATTCAAAATCAAAAGAGGACATTCTCTACTTTAACGACGAGCGGTGACTCGGCCAGAATAACGAGGGGCTCCGATAGCATCAAATCCGTTGCGCTACTGCTGTTGCCCGGACTTCAATTTTACAGCTTTCGAGTAATGTGGGATTGGAGACGAAAGTTCTTTCAATGCAAGCCATCTCAGAATACTTGTGTAGCTAAACTAGAAGTAGCAGTAATATCGTCGAAGTAGGAACAACATCTGACGCAGTGTTGCTCATAAAGAAGGTCAGAAGGTAGATTATTCAATATATCGTTGATTTTGTTCATGCCAACCTCCTCTAACCTTTGTAATTTATCGGACGCTACCGCACTAATCACAGCGTGGCATCTAAAAAGGGAAAACTAAGCAATTTTAGCAATATCTGCGATTAAGCGGAGTGCACCCAATTGATGGGGTGGTCTAAGTTCATATTACGTCAATGAAACAAATTAGTGTTGCTGTTTAAGGTCGTCAAATTGTTAGAAGTATCGTATTTTTTAAATGTACATTGCTCTACACAATACCTGAATGGGAGATTACGATTGTCACAACGTCACCTCACCTACACCCGTTACTCCATCGACTTCAAGGTACTAGAAATTGTGAAGGAAGCCTCTGTTCGATTGCGAATCTCCTCCAACGTAGTCGTCGACGCGATCTCGACTAACTCCAGTCCTTTCCCTGGCACCACGTCAAAAACGCCCAACTCTGTAATTATGGTGTTCACTACACTCTTGCCTGTGAGCGGAAGGGAACAGTTTTTGAGAATCTTTTTCGCTCCATCTTTTGCGTTATGCTCCATCGTGACTACCACACGATTTCCACTGCCTACAAGATCCATTGCGCCTCCCATACCTTTCACCATTTTCCCAGGAATGATCCAATTAGCCAAATCACCGTTCTCTGCAACCTGAAGGGCACCGAGAATTGTCAGGTGCACGTGACCACCACGAATCATGGCGAACGATTCGGATGAAGAAAATGTCGACGAACCAGGAAGAAATGTCACAGTTTCCTTGCCAGCGTTGATCAAGTCCGGGTCTTGTTCACCATCGTTTGGATACGGACCCATGCCCAGAAGTCCGTTTTCACTCTGTAAGACCACCTTCACTCCATCTGGCACATAGTTGGACGCCAATGTTGGCAAACCAATCCCCAAATTTACATACATTCCGTCTTTTAGCTCCATTGCTGCACGACGAATGATGCGCTCTCGATCTGCAGAGATCCTGTACGGCGAATCCTGACAAATAAAAAGTTTGTGAGTTTATTTGGTTTTGTGTCAAACCAAATATAGGTTACCTTGGCTTGGGCAAGAGTGAGCCTCTCAATACGTTTTTCAGTCTTAGTCGCCTTGAAAATACGCTGTACGTAAATACTTGGCAAATGAACTTCATCTACCAAAGCAAAGATTGTACTTGGTAAGAGCAATTGCAAATCCATAGCATAACTAGAATCGAATATTTCTTATTACCAGGGTGGATATCGCCAGGCTGCACCAATTCCTCCACTTCAGCAATCGTAATCCGTCCAGCCTTAGCTGCATCCATATTAAAATTGCCAGCAGTGCCACGAAATACAAGATTTCCCTCGGTATCTCCTTTCCATGCTTTAACGAGCGCAAAATCTCCCGTAATTCCTTCTTCCATCACGTATTTCCGGCCATTGAACTCACGAACTTCTCGTGGTGTACTAGGAATATCAATCGACCCATCAGGCTTTAGCTTTATGGCAAAACCTCCTTCCTGACATCATCACGACTAGTAAGAGCTAATTTGCCAACTACTCACAGATTTTCTCTACCTGAATGATTGTGCCATACGCCGTTGGAGTGAAGAAGGCCGGAATACCAGACCCACCAGCTCGAATACGCTCTGCAAGTGTCCCTTGGGGTGTGAGCTCAACCTCCAATTCTCCTGTAAGATAAAGCTTTTCAAACAGCGCGTTTTCCCCGACATAAGACGAAATCATCCGCTTTATCTAAAATCAAGTTACCAACAGTCAGCAACTTACTGTGCAACTTCAGCATTATTCTTTTCAAACCTGACGAGACTGTAGTAGCAGTCCTAAGCCAAAGTCATCTACTCCAGCGTTGTTCGACACACATGTCAAGTCCTTGGCTCCATTTTTCACCAGCGCCTGAATACAGTTCTCAGGGATACCACAGAGGCCAAAGCCACCTACGATGCTGCCAGAAGTCAAGTCAAAAAAGAATTTAGCGATAGATTGCAGTGCAAAACTGACAGTTTAGATCCGGATCGAATGTCCTTCACAGCGACGTCCGCATCAGCGAAGACTTTGCCTTGGGTGAAATGGCGCGCGCCAAGTACACGCACGAATTGTGCGCGGTTGTAGGCTGTCACACGCAGCATAATAACGATTGTAACTTGCGCCTCGCGGTGCGCAATGCAAAATGATGTTGCTGTTGCAACTTCAATGCACTTGTGCATCTCATCATCACGCTTACGAAAGCTGGATTTTCTATTTCGTTATGTTCTCTATCACTTCATGTATTTCTAGTATTCTATCTTAGAAAATTATTACACGGTAACTTCGCTTACAATTTTTCAAAATCTGTCTACGCAATAATTGGTCTCGGCACTTTTGACCAAAACTACTCATCTTACTTTCAAGCATGATGCACGAGTAAATAAGTGCAGTTTTCGCGATAGTAAAAACACGCTTCTTCTTTCCCATTATACCTCTTGAATTTACGTACCTTAGGTCTCAGTAGAGTGTGAAGGTCATGAAACGTGTTACTTTGCATCATCATCTGCTATCTTGAAAACTTGGTAATTTATCTCTACGCAAGTATCGTCATGAAGTGTTCTTGATCGAGTTAAAAAGGCAAGATGACTCCCTGATTCCACTTTTTCCTGTCCGTCTCATTTCTTCGACTTTATGTCTCTTTTGCAGTCTCACGGCTTCAATCTACCAAATCTATGCTCTTATGATAAATTTCGCTTGCACGTGGTGACTCATCACTATCTCGATTCCAGCTTACTACACAATTCGCGCCGCTCCATTAAAACATAAGACACATACTTGACGACATCCATTTTACCTCAGTATCCGTCGCACTGCCTCACTCAACTACAAGTAATTAAAATTAAGCAGATGACAGAAGAAATCAAAATAAAAATCATCTAAAGTGACTCAATGAATACCTTAATGCTTATACGAGTAAGGTTCACGACGTGGAGATGGCGAAGAACGCGGAGAAGCCGACACTTGTTTCGTTGGACTCGCGCTTCTTAAGTTTTAATGACGACGCACCGCATCAATAGCCACTTACAATCGTCAGTACTAAACACTTAAGATGCATTCACAAAAAAAGATCACCTTTTGAGAGAGCGCGATCGCGATTTGGAGCGTCGTCGAGGTGAACGCCTGAGCCTGACGAAAAACTTAACGTGAGTGAACCCTGCTACATATGAATGTGTCATAATATTTTACGTACGAGCCACCATGCGACTGGTTAAGAATGCGACGCATCTCTTGTGGACTCTTGCGGTGCTGCTTTGCAAAAAGAACGGCAATTTCGCGGCCATTCAGTTGCGTACGATCCATTTCAATTTTTACATCACGGCCGACGCGTGCGTCCGCAAATTCGATGAAAGCAAAGCCTCGCGGGCGGTTTGTGTGATAATCCTTTGGAATATACACATCCAGAATATCACCGGCATTTCGAGAGAAGGCGCGACGTAGCTCGTCTTGTGATGTTTCAGTCGAAAGATTGCGCACTAATAGGCTTATTGGTTCGGTGCGACCACGTCCAATCGAGCGCGAGCGTTCATGTCGGTTGTGGTCTTTTCGGCGGTCGCGCGAACGGGAACGAGAGCGAGCATGGACCCGATTTTCTCGCGAGTGTGATCGATTGCGCTTATGTGGAGATGATACACGACCATCACGACTACCACTACGGCTACGCGGTCGTGGGCGACGTGGGCTGCGGCTACGACTCCGGCGTGGGGAGGTGGAGCGACGGCCCATGAAAGAAGAGGTTTTACTTTGTAAAGCGGTTGTGTGGAGAACGTTGGTGACAAAAATTCGTACTTAGATCGCCTCTTTTCATACTTTCCTCAAAAGCTACAATATTATACAAAGTAATACTGAGCTACTTAAATATTGATGCAAATTTTCTCAACAATGATATTTTCAGCTTAAAAAAGAGCAAATAACTCTATTCCAAGTCAGTTCTAGGACACGCATCCTTCAAGTATCTTTGTGCCGCGCAGGTTGGATTTATCACATCTAATAAGGACAAAAATGTTGGTAAGCATTGTTCGGGGCTATGTAAATATTTGGACAAAATAAATATTTCAATACCGAATTGTAACCAGCTCAGATCTTCGTCCTATATTCCTTAAAAGGCGGTCTACATCCGTATTCAGTATTGGCAGTATGCAGCGTTGCATTTTGATATCTTACGACAAATGCACATGATTCGCGTGCGAATTGCAAACAATATCTAGTGGCACTTACTTAGGATCTTCCAGTTTTTTTCTCAGAGCCTGAATTCGAGAGTCGTAGGTAAACTCTTCGGGTTGGGCGTTTTCCAAGTAGCACAATCCGTACTCGTCCCACCATTTTTTGGCAGCTTGGCGTTCACCCTCTATTTGAGCGGTCAAATTGGCTTGTTTTGAGATATAATCAACCCCCTTAGGATTGCCCGTGGTCGTCATCGTGCTGGAAGTTTATGTTTAAGCTTCAATTATTTTTAAAGTACCTGCTTACGTTATCCGTTCAGTTTATATTCTTGTTCTTAAGTTGTTAAAAATAGACGCTATGTATGGATGGTCACTAGCTGTCATATACATTGGTTGACTTGTGTAACAAACTTTTATGTGCTTTTCTTCAAATTGAGACTGAAGCGCGGCTCATGCGCATTCTATTCGACTTTAGCTAAGGAAAATTTTTAAAAATCAGCACCATCACTTTCGTCGTAGGCGCACAAGATGCCTTGCTTTTGTATATTGTCTAGAGGTTTTTATATGTGCAAACAAAATAAAAAGAGCTTTATCCTTACAACGTAATAAAAATGATCTTAGTACTGATATCGTAAAAATATTTTTTGGTTTGAAATTGAAAAGTTAGCATATTTCGGAAAATTTAGGATGGTTCGGACGGCGAATAGAGAATGCGCGTAATGACAGGTGGTCGCGATCGAGTTGGGCTATGTGACCAACTTATTTTTTTCGTATGCCGTCATAATGACACTTTTGAATTGATTATTTTTGCACTACAGCGCAGATCATATCTTCGATGGCCGCCCGTTATTTCATGAAACTCAGATTTTATGTCCTGGTGCCGCTGGCGACATCTGTTACATCACGTCTTGATCCAGCTACATATGTGCATCTTGTGCGGTGATTTGCGACACTATAATCTAGTTGCTTTGGATCACCAATTTGCATAGCATTAATGTGTAGTGTAAAGTCATTCTCTGGAAGTCGTTGATAAATTGAACATCTGCATACGAGCAGTTTTACGCCGTTTTTACTGTGCTCCTCTTTCAATCAATTTTAAAATGCTAAGCTTTCAACGATGAAAAGGATTGAGTTATCTGACATGGAACAATATTCCAGCATATATCCTTTTCTTTTCACTTCCATATTTCTTACGGAACTACACGTACCCTGGTAGGTCACACAAGGTGGTGTGACCGTGCATAGGTGTGGATTACACAAGTTGGTGTACTCACAAAATGATGTGGCTACACCGTAACAAGCCACTTTCCTGATTAAATAGTAATTTAGGTCTTACTATTTAATTAGAAAAACCTAAGGTTTTAGTCTCAATTTTGAACGAAAGAGTATATTTGCCTTGGGTTAAGGTTTTGGGTACTCTTGAAGGTAGCGAATTGCGATCCGCTACACTTGTACTGGTTCTGGTGTAGAACGTAAGGTCGGTCACCTAAGTAAGCTTCCTCGAGGCAAAGAGCTACGGCAGCCCCGCTGCAGTGATAATTTAAGATCTCTGGATATCGATCTTAGCAATCATTTAATGTGTGGTGGATTGCCGAACTGTTGATGTTGCGCATGTCGGTTGATTATCTGTGATATATGATTTCCGTTTTTTTGTTTCAACAGTACTTCCTTCACCAAATCGGCCCAGGCACTACCGAAGAAGTACAAATTGGCTTATAGAAACGAAGTATGTTGTTGTCACGTCAATAAATGGAATTATTAGGCCTATTCCCACTATCACGCATTATCAATATAGATAATGCGCTTTTGTATAAATAAATTTCAAAATCTTTCATACTTTCTGTGAGAAATATATGTTACCGGACGGATCGCGGATTGAAAAAAAAGAAAACTTGCATAAGCATAAATCTAACGCATAAATGACAGTGAAAGCTCTAAACTTCACGACTTGGAAGATAGAAAACAGGCGCTAACCGGGTTGGCCAAATCCATCCCAATCGTTTTATCTAAAGGCGTTCAGTTCTTTGACGTGGGCGGTTTACGAGTTGATCCCGAAAAGTTACAACTGAGTTTCGATTCACGTGTGCACTACGTATCGCCCTTCATAGATTAGGTGGATGTCATTGGATTTTTTTAAGCACGTGAACTTTTGATCTCGCCGTAACGGGAATCTTTATTGCAAAAGCGCGTCTTTATGCTGCGCAAGCTCGATAAGATACCGAGTGTAAAGGACACGGTCGAATACTCGAAAGAGTATAAGGGCGACAACACGAATGGCGGTGATTGTCTAGGTATCCAGGATTTCGCAGTAGATAAGGAGGGTGATTGAGTACTACTGGTGGGTGACTTGCTAGCCACGGGTGTAACAGCTGGTGTTTACCTTGTGCAGCAAGCAGGGGTCTCTGTGACGGCTTGCATATTTGTAGTGAAAATTCGCCTGTTAAATAGCCGTGGCCGCGTCTGTATGGTCAGTATAAACGAGAATATACAGATTATCTAGCTGCTTACGGAGAACAGTTTCGTGAACCTTATTGAAAAAGGAAGTTTTTTAAAGAAAATCATCGTAGATATAATTCAATTTAATGCCAATATTAGAGCAACAATGATCGGTGAAAGATTATTGCAATGATCTACAATTGCCCACAATTTCCATCCGGAAGCACAGTCATTTTAAATCAAAGATTCCGTCAGCGAATATAGCAACATCAGTCATCCTTGGTGCATGTTTCCATGCTTAAATAAACTAGTACATTTACTAAGCTTTTACGTCGTCTTAAGTAAAGCACAGCAGACCATGTCCTTCCATGTTCAAATTCAGAGCACAGGTTTTGACATACGTCTGCAGGTGGTATTGCTGGCGAGCGCAGCGAGGCTTACAAATTATAAGGATCCTCTAGAGGCCTAAATTGGAAAAGTGAAGCTCAAAGCTTTCAGGTTGTAGAAATGACCTGAGCCCCCACAGTTAATAAGCGATGCCGAGTACTATCTTCTGAACTACAGCTCCTCAATACCGCAAGGGCCAACACTAAATCAAGGCCTCAACGCCATACCTAATTACTTCGCGGACGGGGAGCGACAAGTCGCACCCGTAAGTCCAGCATAACACTTCCCGCTTACTGAGGTTAACGATCGCTCTGAAAGGTACGGCCGTCAAAGCGCGTGGCTTCAAGACGTTCGTCAAACAAAGGCGCCCTTTTATCTTGTAAATTAAATTTCGTACCTGTTCGTCAAAGATGTGTCAAAGGATGGTTAATCAAAACTCAGCCTCTTCCCTGAGTACAGAATAGCGTCGAGCATACGACGAGATTGTTGTGGCACCATGCGTATAGGAGGCTTAACGTTTATTTTAGCGAACGCACAGAGGATTCACCAAGACTGTAAGTAGGACGCGAATCCTTTCGAGTACCATAAGGTAATGTTGCTCTAGCCAAAGCCTGCGTAAGTAAAGCCAGCAAATCTGTAAACGAGTATATATCTTGATCGATGCATTGTGTGATGCTCGCAGCTCATGCATTATACACACCTCTCGTATTGAATACGGTCAACTCTAATACAATGCCTACTTAAGGTACGTGTCATTATACTAGCTATCTTAACTTTGTTGTCTCATCATCTTCTGAAGCGTGAATGAGTAGTATTATGTGTCGGAATCGACTGTGAAGGCAGAAATTCTGGAAAACATGAAAGTCACACTGGCAAAAAGCCAGACGTAAGCATAGGTGTTTAGCACTTTGCCGTTATGATGGGCGGGAAAAATGCTGCGCCAGTCCTCGGATCTGGTTTACTTGAATATACAGTACCCTTCGCGGTCTCGGCGCACATCTTGACGTTGACTTGGCAGCATTGGAACAAGCATTTCGAACTTGTATGAGTAAAGCCGTTTAGATTGACCTGATTACGTGGCTCCATGTACAGCAGATAATTTCCTTACTTAAAAATGATTTCTTTGTCTGATAAATGTTGACAAGCTGAATGTCGCCCGCGTTGCAAGTGAAAAGTGCATGTTAAGTCAGCTCGTGTCACTTGCTAATTTAACTAGCTTTATTGCGTGGTTTTGCTGGTCTTGCATTTCATTATAAGATGCTGTTGCGACTAATCGATAGATGTGCTTCTAGCCCAAATAAGTGTGTATTGGTCCGCTTGCATGAAGCTTATCGTCCAATGCATCTGTATTCGCTACGGCTCAGACATCGACTGCGCTGTTAACAATTCGAAACGAACATACTTGTAAGGTGGTCGCAGACGAAAAGCACCGTGTTGATAACGATTTGATTTGCACGCACTATTGCGTTATGCTTACGCTTACAGCGTATCTTCAATGTCTTAACGCAGTCACACACATCGATACAAGTTCCAGCTTAATTCTTTCGAGCACGAGTGGAATCGTCACTTTATCAAAGCCCCTTTTAACTGGTTCATTGCGGCTTAAATTGCTTTTGTCTTAGTCACAGTGGTCAACTTTGTCGTAATAGTGATCCTCGAGTCTATTTCCGACTTTGCAATTGCATTTGCAATTTTTTTATCAGGATGAGCGAAACTGAATTAGATCTGCTTCACATGAATGTGAAGGTTGTCATCTGCGATGACCGCCTTTACGACTTCTTAAAGCTTTGCAATTGTTGATGCCGAAATAAACCGACTTCTTTGTTTACAAGACTGCGAATAATTTTAGGATAATTGTTATAACTCGTTTAAATTCCACGCGGATGTGGATGTGTTATTTTCATTTTGGGGAATCATTTTTCGCAATAACTCTTTCAGTCTTTTGCTGCACATCACCACGCTATCAACAAATGCTGTACTGAAACTCATCGCAATGTAGTCTATCATATTGCTATAAACTTTTTGCGGCTGTGAAACCTTAACTTTGAGTTTGGGTAATCAATATCACGAGATAACAATTTGCCTCTTTTTGATAATGGATCGAACACTTATGTCAACCTTACGCGCTTAAGTCATTGCAGTGGCGAAAAATGTGTTGATACTTTAGAGCTCTCAGTTCTGATTGGGGTAGCAGCACACAAACCCAACCTCTCGGCATCGTTTAAGCGGATTGAAGAGCTGAAGCATCCACTATGCAAAGTGAATGACAACCCCGTCGTGCTTGCTTTTACTGTTAGTCAATCCCACGTCTGAGGTGTTATATTAGCGACGCAATTTCTCGACCTGAGAACTAGAGGAGTGTGTTTTGGATCTTACAGTAAATTTAGGGCTCCTCGACCATTGCACCTTTTAATTTGCATTCTTATTTTGGGAATCCTTTCATTTAAAAGACAAAGCGAATTTATCTCTTGCCATACGTCTGACCCAACCAGTGACAATCTTAAAGGTCATTTAACGAAGTGACGATCTGATACCCTGCACTTACGTGCATTGACATCAAAGCGAGCTAAGCGAATGGTGGATTGTACTAACATAGAAACAGGAGTGAAATCACCTACGCGAAAATTACATAAAATTTAAGAGTGTATTTGAGTTGTGCCTACGATAAATTTAGACTTTTTCAGTGCTAAGCTTGATTTAAGAAAAGTATTTTAACATATCAAATTATGCATCATATTGGCAAATTTACTAGTAAAAAAGTCCATGAGAATCGCCTCATTTGGAGGGACGCGCCCAACTTAATGAATAGAGCCTTCGTTATCCGCTACGATTGTGACAAAAGCTGAACCATATGTTGCTCTCAATTTGATTCCCTCGTATACATCATTGCTCTGGCAACATCGCCCACGATGATAAAATACACATTTAGAGTCTGTAGTAAAAGTGAATTAGTACACGTTGCATCAGCTCACTTTAATATAGCAATAGAAATGTTTAAATATTATACAGAGCGCACGACGGCTAATGCAACTCGATTAATCATAGCAACTTAAACTATCGAATCATGTACAGGATGACTGGTATATTACAATTATTGCAAAACATTATATGATGAAGCCATACTTGGTAGGAGATCAAGTTAGAACAGCGAGTGACGCGGACTGGAAGTTGCTTACTGCTCGCATTGTGGGCGGCGCTTGGTTGTATTTATCAGTTAGTGCAAGTATCCCGAGTTGGGTCCTGGGAGAGTTGCTAATAGGACTTTAAATATACTGATGTTGCGTAAGAAGAAACGGCTATGCTTGAGGATCAGTTGTCAGACTCTGACCTGTACGTTGGAAGAGGGGGAGAATTACATATTTGTTGCATGTGAAAGAACGAAGCGTGTGGGCTACAAATCGCTGTAATTGCAATATTTATTAAAAGCGCGAGCTGTGTAGTCTGTGAAGGAGGTCGAACTAGTAAGTCAAAAATCAGAAATCAGTGAGTCAGCTGATTTGCATTCACCTGACAACCATTGAAGGAGGTTTTTGACCCGATTATCAGTTAATAAAGCGGGCATTATGAGTATTTGTCTAGTGTGCCACGCCCCTCCTCGTTGCATAAGTCTTTGAGACAGAGTGTATTTTATATGTTCATATTAAAAAGAACAATTTAGTGCAGGCGGAAGAAAGTGCATAGCTAAGTGCATGTTGCATGCTTGTACATTCTAAATGTTTATGTATAAGATAGAGCTCTACATTCATATTAGTCTTCACATGTAATCATGCAGACATCAACGCGATTGAGTCGTCGCGCACATTGCACAAAAAATAATGGGCTCATCGACTCCGCGTTGACATGCGCACAGAAATTCGATTCGGATGCACCATCCAGGGGCGAAGCCGAAAATCTCTCCGCCAAAATCGAGCAAATTACCTAAAATTTTCTTGTGTGACATATATTTATATTCAAGTTTGCTTCAAACCCATACTAATTATATACGCTTGATATATACCGAACTCACGATGATTTGCTAAGCCCGATGCTAGATTTACACACGTATGGCACATCTCTCTTTACATAGCTCCATAAATCGCATCCATACCAGTGCCTTGGTTACTCCTAGCTTTATTCTCTCTTCTAAAGTCAAGAGTGTAAGGCGTACGAGAACCGTTATTCCTCCAGCTACCGCATTAAGGCCGCACTTAATGTGTCATTCTGAAACCTCGCTCAAGCACAACCATTAGTGACTAGAAGCACTGACTGTGCCTATAATTATTCACTTTGCTTGCACTTTAACAATGCCTGGTATTACGAACGTCATACATATTGGTGGAGTTTTTCCTATCGTGCTCACACTAGCTCAATGGTCTACTGAAAAAGGCGTAACCCTGTGGTCGACAATTTACAGGATATACTTGGTGAGGCAACTAAGGTGCTCTCGGTTTGAAGCAATCATTGTAATACTTCGTGTATGAGATGGCACGTTTACCCACAAAGAAAGATATAAGCTCCTGTCTATGAGTGCTTCTCTTACGTTATGTCTTTCAAAGCTCAGTCTCATTACTTCTGCATTTGCTGCAAATGCCGCGATGGGTGTACGACACTTCGTCACAAAGCTCACGACACGATGTATACAGCTC